TTGGTGGGGGGTTGGAGCTTCGTGATCCTTGAGCTCCCTTCCATCCCGAGGCATTCTGTGTTATTCTATGATTTTTGAAAGGTTTGGCAACACAAACCTTCTGATGAAGTACTGGATAGGGCACATAATGTCCACGTCCTTCCTTGCACCTACAGCCAGACCCTCACTGCTGTGAACTGCCACCTCTGTTGGTCTTCAGGTTATCAACAGCTGCAGCAGGGACAGGCAGTTTGGCACATTTGCAGGGAAGAGGCTGCTTTAATTGCTTCGAACAATTTCTCCTTCTAAGTCACAACACCACAAGTGTCTTGGTTTGAAGGCTGGTAAAACTCCAAATCCAAGCCCCTGTTTGTTTTTCTTAAACCCTCTTCTTTATTACCACTTTTTACAAACCTTTTTTGTTTGTTTATTTTTACTGAGAAGTCTTTCCTTGCCAATCCTCAACCCGTTTCAAGGGCTGTGTAACTGTCTGCCTTTTGGCATTCCTCAAATGTTGCCTTCTCATGCCGCTTCAATTAATGCACGCTTTCTATTCTTCTTCCTCAGAAGCAGAACGGGTGATAGGATTTGCATCAGTGGACCTTTCTCCTCTTCTTTCTGGCTTCCAGCTGGTGTGTGGCTGGTACAACATCACCGACTTCAGTGGGCAGTGCCGAGGACAGATCAAAGTAGCAGTCTCTCCCCTTCAAAATATAAATAATCTCAGAGAAGAAAGGCAGGCGAGGATCCGCAGCCAGACTCCAAGCTCTGCAGTGCGTCCTTTGCCTTCTTACCTGTGCAATGTCTGATTAGATCAGCACTGACTCTATGGGATTCTGAATAATCAGCAAGCATAGCAAGCTTGCCTTCCTGCAGTGGGTCAGTACTGGGATAGGATGTGTATGTAGTGGAGTCGCTTTACCTTGCTTTCCACTCTTCAGTAGGGTGACGAGGGATCCAGCAGTCCTGTGCTACACATCCTATGTGCTGTTGCTGAAAGCAAGGAGGCAGAATTTTACCCTCTTGTCTTTTTAGCACGATGGCTTTTTTTATTATTCTTTTATACAATACTGCTTCCAGCATGATTTTTTTCTTGTTATTTGCCTGCTTTCCCTTGTTTGGATGACTGTTCTGCACAACAAAGCTGGAACTGGAAAACGTAAATTGGAAACAGGGGCTACAAAGCAGGGTAGTCTGGTAATCAGCCTTCCTGCATACTGACAGCTGAATCTGCCCTGTAACAGATGTCTCTGAAGTAAGAGTGTGGTTGAACAGAACTTTGGCTCAGTGCTGGAAAATCCTTTGAAAGTTTATATTGAGAAAATGTTTGTTTGCTCAGTAAGATACTACTGCAATTTCTGTTTTCTCACTGTGGAAGACTCATGCGAGGTGTTGGTCTTTCTTCTAGATGAAGGCCATCTTTCCAGCACTTCCCAGTAACGTTCCAAGCTTTTCCAAGCCCGTGTTGCCAAAGGAAGTTGGTGTTCCTTCTCGAGAACAGTAAGTCAGCTGGCTGTGAGCCATACTCATCACTTCCAGGATGCAGAACTTTGCATATTTGATAACATAAAGCCCTGTCAAAGGTCTTTTTCCTATGTCTGAAAGATTATACTGAATTCCCTTTACCAGTGACAGGGCAGCCCAGGAGGTGGCAACCTGGGGACAGGTGCCTTTCTACAAAACCCAGATTTTCTTCTCACTGATGTTTCATTTGCAAGCTGCTGCTTTAGAACTTCCATTATACTGTTGCTAAAACTGGCAGTTATTTCTGCCAGATCTTTTATAAGAATAAGAGTTCTTTATAGTGCTGAGTTAGAATTGAGTGTTACTTGCATATCCCCTTCGTTTTGCCACTTTGCTCTTGTCCAAGCAGAGGTTTCAGACTGCTTTCTGTATTTAAATGTAGGCCTGTTCCTAGCAGAAGTAGTCCCCCTAGGGCACACACACCTCGACACGAGGAGCACATGCAGAACGTGCGCAGGTTCCACGAATCCTTGCAGCAAGCAGAAGGAAATGCACAGCGAGCAGCCAGGATGGATTCACTGTCATTGTCGTCGCGTGCTTCTCTTCTGACTGCTCTCAGGTAAGGCAAAGCCTTAGATTTACAAAGCACAGCTTGAAACTTCAGCATTCCTGCACTGAATTGTAAAGAAAATGAAGAAATACGGTGACTGATAAGAAGTATCAGTGTAAGTTACAGAAGGATGTCCTTTCACAGCAGGGCGCCTCTCTTCTCACTGGAAGCACTCATTTTTCTGCTGTCTAGATTCTAGACTTACAGATCAGGTCTAAATTTTGGGAGAAGAATGTTTATTATCTGCAGGAATGTGGGACTGAAAGAAACTTTCGCAGCTGTTCCATCACTTCTCCTGCCACTACAATCAATATATTTTAAAACACTCAGATTTTTATCCAGATCAGTTGTGAAGTCAAGGGATAGGAGGATAGGATATCATTAGTGATAGGAGCAGAGGGAATGGCTTCAAGCTATGGCAGGGGAGATTCAGGCTGGACATGAGGAAGAATTGCTTGTCAGAAAGGGTGGTCAGGCACTGCAATGGATGCCCAGGGAGGTGGTGGAGGCACCGAGCCTGGGGGTGTTCAAGGAAAGGCTGGATGTTGTGTTGAGGGACATGGTTTAGTAGGAGCTGTTGGGAATGGGGGAACGGTTGGACTGGGGGAGCTTTGAGGTCTTTTCCAACCTTGGTGATTCTATGATTCTATGATACCCTTTCCTTTAAGACTTCTACTGAGAAGCCACTGCAAATCCAACTTTGAATAAGTATGTTTAAAACCAGCTGCTTTTTTTTTTGTAATAGTTCCCAGCCTAAATTTGTTCCTGAGTAAATATTGTCAGGCTGAGGGAGTTGGGCTTGTTCAGCCTGGAGAAGAGAAGGCTGCGGGGTGACCTCATTGCAGCCTATCAATACCTGAAGGGAACCTACACCCAGGAGGGGAGTAAACTCTTCAAAAGGGCTGACAACAGCAGGACTAGGGGAAATGGATCCAAGTTGAAGGAGGGAAGATTTAGGTTGGATGTTAGGGGGAAGTTCTTTACTAGGAGAGTGGTTAGGCCCTGGAACGGGCTGCCCAGGGAGGTTGTGGATGCCCCGTCCTTGGACGTGTTTAAGGCCAGGTTGGACGGGGTCCTGGGCAACCTGATCTGAATGTGTATGTTTGGTGGCCCTGCCAGGCAGGGGGGTTGGAACTACATGATCCTTGGGGTCCCTTCCAACCCGGGTGATTCTGTGATTCTGTGATTGTCCTTTCCCATAGGTGGAGCGGCCTCAGTGCTTGCATGTTGATCTGTTTTACAGTACAAACCTCTAACACTGTGTTTGTATTTACACCCTGTTGAACTACAAGGATGTGGATAGAATCATTCTGCCATCGTTTCTTGTTCTTTTTGTTCCTTAACCTTTTTCTCACAACTGCTTACAGAAAGAACTTGAGCGAGCTGGATGAAGTTCAGAGATACTTCAGCCAGAAGCTGACCAGGTCTCTTCCTGACTTCAGTGATGGTAACAGATCCCAACCAAGTCACAGAGAGCAGGAGAGTGATCATCAAGGCTTGAGGAGCAGAGAAATGGATTCCAACCAATGCCATCTTTTAAGAAAATCGAGTCAGCTGGTGTCCCAGGTCAGCAGCCTCATCAGTGGTAAGTTGTTACTTGGTCTGGGGTTTTTGGCAAAGCATTTTTAAAGTCCTCATGTAATAGAAAGCAGTGCCTGGTGTTGGTGGTCAGCATGTGTTGATCCACTGGGAGAATGCTTCAGAGAGATTTTCAAACTTCTGCCAATAAGGATAGCATTGAGTTGCAGTATTCAGAAGGCAAATGAGATGGGAGTTAAGGCCTAAATTCCACTTAAATTTCAATGTCCAATAGAAAAAAGAGTGGTCTTGTGCAAAACCAGCCTGCAGAGCAGCACTGAGCTGAGTCTGCGACCCTTTGCTAAGAGGAATTGGCACTTCATTTTGTTTTAGCTTAACCATTCAAACCACTGTGATTTTCTAACAGAGAGGCACTTGGAATAGCAAAATGACTTGGAATTGAAATGCTGTGCAGAGAACAAACTGCGGCCAGGAGTATTGCCAGCTGGGCAGTTTATTCTGGGCTTCTCCTGCCTCTTACTGCCTGCAGGGAAACTGCACTTCCAAGAGATGGAGCTGGAGTGGTGAGGCAGTGGCACAGGTTGCCCAAGGAGGCTGTGGATGCCCC